TGAGAAAACCATAATTCCTGTATCGTTTGAGATTTAGGCTCATCTCGTGGGCATTTTCTGATGTGGTGGTTATTTTAAAAAATCTAGTATTTAAGGGCAAGAGAATGTCAAAAAAAGGATGGATCCTCCTTATTTTCAAATGTAGTCTCCTTCTTAAGATAGGGTCTATCAAAGATGATGCGGTCTCAATAAAGGTAACATTAGTGAATACATAACTTTTTGGTGGAGGGATGACAACATTTGTATTCTTTTTGCATGGGCGAGTATCCTACAAGTACGCACTTGATGATCCGGTCTCAATAAAGATAACGTTAGTGAATACATAACTTTTTGGTGGAGGGATGACATTATTTGTATTCTTTCTGCATGGGCGAGTATTCTACAAGTACGCACTTGATGACTTTGAGGTTAAGTTTTCCTCTTTGAGACTGGTGTATGTGAAAGTAGGTAACACACTCAAAGACTTGAGTAATAAAGTTGTTGGTGACTTGTACCTCAAGAAAGATGGTAGCTAAAACCTTTATTGGACTGCAAAGTTCTAATATCTGAAATGTTAACTAGTTTATAAGGTAGGAGTAAGTTAACACAATTTCTCCTTAGTAGTGTGTGAGACAAAAAAGTTGTGTAGTAGTGAGCAAGTAGCTGTTTTTCATTATGCTACTTTGCTTTTTGTTAGGAAGTGTAGCCATAGGAAGACTCATGAACAGTTCTTTCTTTTTAAAAGAAGGAATGCAATGTTTGGTTAAAGTAATCTTGGGTATTATCAGTATGAGAATATTTTATTTTTGCCCCAACTTGCATTTTGATCATATTGTGAAATTGGGGAATAATATAACTAAGCTTAGCTTTAGATTTCAATCGAAAAGTCTGGTTACCCAAGTACAGTTATCAATAAAAGAAACAAACTAGTGAGTGCTAGAAATAGTAGGAATATCAATCGAAAAGTCCAGATATTACCGTGAATCAAAAAGAAATTGCTTCTTTTATTGCTAGTAGAAAAATCATGCGCATGTGTTTTACTAGTTCACATACATCATGGTGTAGTTTTTTTTTTTAGATAAAAGTATGAAAATGCATTAAAAAGTGGTACCAAAGAGGTACCGCCCGTTTACAAAAAATTTACATATCAATGAGCATATCGATCATAGCTCCCATGTCTTTAAAAGATAAGATACTGCGACCCAAAAGTATGGATCCAAGACAATGTATCCATCTATCCTTGATATTTACAAAAGTATCTTCAATGCCTTCAAGTTTTTTTTCTTTCCAAATAACCCAAAAGATAATTAAAGGAATTAGCCGAGTAACATAATTGTTAGGAACTAAATCCTCTTAGGCCATAATCTCATTATAAACAGAGCTGAACATAACCCAATTAATGCTAATCAGACTATAAACCATGTGCCGCAAATTAGCAGTAAAAGGGCACCAAAGAAGAATATGATTGCAACTCTCAGCATCATTTTTGCAAAGGAAACATCTGTTGACCAAAATTTTTCCTGTTTTAATCAAATTATCCAATGTCAGGATCTTCTCCTTAACAGCTTCCCAAGCAAAGAAAGCAATCCTGGAGGGAGCATTAGCTTTGCAAATGGCTTTGTAGGGGAAATATGCAGCAGGTATAGAGTTTGACCGGCCAATGCTAAATGACAGCTTATTGAAGAAAGACCGAATGGAGAATTTGCCATTTTTCTGCAATTTCCAAATTAGGGAGTCCGGTCTGTACATCATGGTGTAGTTTTTGTTGTTGTAATATGAAAATAAAGAGGGCAACATAGCCTTAAAGGTAGAGAAAGAAGGTGTAACTTGGAGGTTTACCAAAGGAGGAATGAAAAAGAATATCCTATGTAATTACTTATCCATGTGTGTTAGTTTTAATGTTATTATATAATTTTTATGTAAGCGTGTTTAAATAAGTGTTAAGTGTGTATTAGGCGAGGAAATAAGTCTATAAGACAAAGGTAGTTTAGGTAATTCTGGAAATTCAAATTTACAGAACTAACTACCCTCTTTATATATATCTTCTGCTATGGGAGAAAAAAACATTATGTTTGAATATTTTCTTCAATGAAGAGTACACGTCTCTCTAGAGATTGTAGGATTTTCTCTGTCCAATGAATCCTAATTATTTCCTTTAATTTCTAAAGCTAGGTGAAGGTAGAGAATCGAAGAAACATGCAATTATACCTACTGATTTCATTGTGAATTGTCCCATAACGCAATCCATCAGTAGGGACTGTAACAGAAGAGTGTTGTAATCTTTTGTGGTAAAGTCATAACTTATCTAAGAAGTTGGTAGAGAGAGGTATGTGGGTTATCGAGTGTATCCATGAAGTATAATCCATTCCGAGACTTAGCACGTTCAATCACCCTCTCTGAGTTCTGTCATTGAAATTCACAAATAGAAGAAGAAAAAATCACTTTACAATTAAGGTTCTGAGATAACTTGGTTACTGATATAGGGTTTGTGCAAAATTCACTAATAGAAGAAGAAAAAATACTTTAAAATTAAGGTCCTGAGATAGTTTGGTTACTGATATGGGGTTTGTGCAAAATTTAAAGACATGATGTACATCAGTAAGAGTAAAGTTAGGATTTGTTTTATGTTTCCAACTTCAGCATGATGGTTCGTGAACCATCAGAAGTGACAGTTTTTCTGTTGCTGGGACATGAAGCATGGGTGTTGAAAATTCAGAGATGTTGGTTATGTGGTCGGTAGCTCTTCGGTCCACAATCCATGACAAAGTAAAATATTGAGCTTTATGTTTCAAATTTCTGCTACAATGGTTTGTGAATCATCAAAAGTGACAATTTTTCTATTGCTGGGACATGGAGCATGGGTGTCAAAAAATTTAGAGTTGGTCACGTGGTTGGTAGCTTTTGAGTCCAGAGTCCATGATAGTGTGAAAGATTTATCTGAGACATTTAAACCATGAAAAATAAAAAGTGTACCTGAATGTGCTAAGAGACCTGTACTTTTAGTCTTTTCAAGACATTCAAGTTATGTTCTCAGGCGTTCAGTTTCTGCCTTAAAATCACTGAATATGTAGTCTTTTCTTCTCCCTATGGATGTCCCATATGTACCTGTCCCTAAATCTTCTTGTATCTTTAATCCTTGCTAGAGCTATTATGCTTTCCATGAAATTTCTAACATTTTTCTTTGGTGTCTCGAGGTTTCTTTCAGAAGGTACACCAAAAATTGTTTCTCTTCTCCCTACCAGTAGTTGAGATTTTGTTGTAACTTGGCTCCTTCCCTTGTTGGTGTTGTTTGGAGCGTTTTTTTGCCATTTCAGAGCTATCAATAGTGCGGGATTCTAGTATAACTCATCTTCCATTTGCTTTTGCATTACCAAGAGATATTACCTCATTCAGGGATAAAATCTTCTCTTTTATCAGAATCTGAAGTCTCACCTGATCATATTCTTCATTAAGTCCTGCCATGAATTAATACACTTTATCTTTTTCAACTACTCCTTTAAAAGCTCCTGCATATTTGCTGCACTCCATAGTGAGACAATTATATTGATCAAGCTTCTACCACCAGCTCTTTAAAAGCTTGGCATATTCTCTGACTGATTTGTTTACTTGTCTTGCTGATCAAACTTTTATACTCAGATCATATATCTGGCTGCGTCCTTTACCTTTTGGAATAAGTTTCTCTGATTGAATCCCAAGCCTCTTTCGTATTAGTTAGGAACATAACTGTGTTATTTATCTCAAGTGCCATTGAGTTCTAAAGTCAACCTGTTTATCCTGAATCTTCTTCGTTTCACGCATCAAACTGTGGATCTTCTTATTTAAGTCCAGTGCCAAGATGTGGCTAAATTTTCCTTTGACCTTGAGGATTATCCAGATTAATTGTGATCAATTCAAATAATTTTTCTCATTCAGGCAGTAGACTACCTGAATTGGTTGGAATTCTCTGTCTAGTTGTTGCGTAGCCACCCTGATAGGGTTATATAACTTGAGATTAAACCTCTGACATTGCCTAATATTATGACACAGTTAAGGCTGGTAAAAAATAGGTGATAGTAGTGGTGGTTGAGGCGGCTGATGGAGGAGCTGCTTAATCCTGTGCATAAGAGGGCAGATGCATGGCCTGGTTGTGAGCATGGGGTTGCAGACCTGTGACTGGTGTGCAGGTGCTCAACTGGGTGGTGCAATTAAGGCTGTGCAACTGCAGGAGATGGTAGCCGCGACTGAGCTGTGCACAGACAACGTCTGGACGCACGGCTGGGATGTGGTTGGAAGGGCTGAAATTTGGCAATGAAAGCCGATCTTGGTGGCTGGTGGCCGGTTGCTTAGGTGGTGGGAGGAACGAGCAATGAAGACTGGCCTCCTAGGTTATTTATGTATTTATTTATTTATTTTGACAATGAAAGTAGATTAGGGATGTAAGAGAGAGAGAGAGAAGTTTTTCTTTTTAGGGTTATCATACCTGCGGAAGAGTAGAATGTCTTACATTTCATTAAATATTAGGGTCTTATGTATATAGTTTCATATGAGTAATAAAAGAAAATACAGTTACTTACAGAGAAAGGAATATATTAATAATGTACCTTTTACCTTAATATACACGCCGTAAGAATTTATATTCTTGTTATTTGCTTTCCAGCAATTTAATGAAAGTGTTTAATGATTAGCATGTCAAATTATATATTAATTGATTTATTTGTATAGCTATCTGCACGGGATTCAATTTAATCCAACATCAACATCTATCTTCTTGTTATTCCTTTTTGAGCAAGTTTTTTTGCTGGTGACTCAAAATAATAACATCAAGATGTTAGTAGTGATTGAACTCACACAGCTATTATAGGTGCCAACAATTTGAAGATGACGTAAGCTGTGGCTTATTAGGACTTTTAACAGAGAAATCCTAATGCCTCTGCTATTTGTATTATCTAAGTATTGCAGTTATCTGTAGGAAGATTGTAAAGATTGTCTTTATCTTCTCTATCTAGCTAAAATAAAATATTAATTGATCATACTTATTTCAGGTTCGTAGAATGACAACTTCACCTCACAGAGCTGAGATATTGGCTTCATCCCTTGAGGCATTTAGGAAAATTCAGCAAGAAAGAGCCAGTTTTCGAGCTGGTGATAATGCAGGCCCAGAGTTTAGCCACCATCATATGTCTGATGACAACAATATGGAGAATTTGGTTGAAAGAAATGATCCAACAGACAGCAGTAAAGACAGAGAGATGAGATCAAGAAAACAGGGTGAACTTTCAGATTTTAACCAAGGGAGGCTGAGCGGAATTGGTCAAAATGCTGAATCAGGTAAATCCAACAAAGTAAACTTTGTAGATGAAGGTTCTAAAATTCCAGAGAACCTATCCACTTCTGAGATTAACTCGGTTGTGGCACCTCTTAAGAGCAACTGTGCTGCATGTGGTTTGGTCAAGAAAAAGAGAGAGCATCTTGGTGCAGAAAGTGTTGAGAAAAACCTGAAGTCAACAGATCAATTTAAGAAACAATCTCCCATGACAGAAAAAGATAGGGACAAGAAAAATATTACTTCAAGGAAGACCATGGATGCGTGGAAGGAGAAGAGGAACTGGGAAGACATACTTTCATCACCATTCCGTTCCTCATCTCGTATCTCACATTCCCCAAGCATGAGCCGAAAGAGTGCTGAGCGTGCCCGAATTTTGCATGAAAAACTAATGTCTCCTGAGAAGAAGAAAAAAACGGCTTGGGACTTGAAAAGGGAAGCAGAAGAAAAGCATGCACGGGCTATGAGGATCCGAAGTCAATTAGAGAATGAGAGAGTTCAAAAGCTTCAGCGTACCTCAGAGAAATTGAATCGTGTTAATGAATGGCAGGCTGTACGCAGTATGAAGTTACGAGAGGGAATGAATGCCCGTCATCAACGTAGCGAATCTCGGCATGAAGCTTATCTAGCACAAGTTGCAAGGAGAGCTGGTGATGAAAGCAGTAAAGTCAACGAGGTTCGGTTCATTACTTCCTTAAATGAAGAAAACAAAAAACTCATGTTGCGTCAGAAGCTTCATGATTCAGAATTGAGAAGAGCTGAAAAGCTTCAAGTGATGAAAACTAAACAGAAAGAGGATGTTGCTAGAGAGGAAGCTGTTTTAGAACGGAAAAAACTCATTGAAGCAGAAAAGTTGCAGCGTCTTGCTGAGACGCAGCGGAAAAAAGAAGAAGCTCAAGTTAGAAGAGAAGAGGAACGCAAGGCTTCCAGTGCGGCTCGTGAGGCGAGGGCCATTGAGCAGCTCCGTAGGAAGGAGGAAAGAGCGAAAGCACAGCAAGAGGAGGCTGAACTTCTGGCCCAAAAATTAGCTGAGAGGCTCAGTGAAAGTGAACAACGTCGCAAATTCTACCTAGAGCAAATTCGGGAGAGAGCTTCCATGGATTTCAGAGATCAGTCTTCACCTTTAATGCGCCGATCTGTTTATAAGGAGGGTCAAGCCAGATTGACACCAACCAGCAACGGTGGTGAGTACCAAACAAATTGTATTTCAGGCTTAGGCAGCACCTCTCTTGCTGCGGGTGATGCATCATTGCAACAATCACTGAAGAGAAAAATCAAGAGAATTCGGCAAAAACTTATGGCTATGAAATATGAATTTACTGAGCCCCCAGCTGGTTTTGAGAATATTGGTATTGGATTTAGAACCACAATGGGAACTGCAAGAGAAAAAATTGCTCGGTGGCTTCAAGAGCTTAAAAGACTCCGACAAGCAAGAAAAGAGGGGGCTGCAAGTATTGGGCTAATCACTGCTGAAATGATCAAGGTAGTTTCATTGGACTTTATTAGGAGGCTACAGTATATTATTTTTATATTTTCATATGTCAAATAATTATGAAATTTCAAAGTTTGTTTCTTCCCTTCAAAGATAATGATGTTAATTGCATTGCATTTGATTCAATGAATGTGAACAGAAAATCACTATCTGTCATTGTTATCGGTAATTGATTCTTTTGAGCGGTAGAGATATTATTTGCTTTCATTTTTTTTTTTTCATTCTTACAAGCATGACTATTCTGTGAATCAAATTCAAGCTTCTCTGTGCTATGGAAGACCTTTCTTTTTTAAGGTATATGTCAAGTGAATTCTTGACTAACTCCAATGGTCTTATTAAATTTGGGCTGAGGAGGACTTATTTAAATTAAAATTCTGACTGACATCCTCTTAAATTTCTTTTTCAACTAGTTTTTGGAGGGAAAGGAGCCTGAGTTGCATGCTGCTCGCCAAGCTGGTCTACTTGATTTTGTTGCTTCTGCCCTACCTGCTTCTTATACATCTAAACCTGAAGCTTGCCAGGTGACAATACACCTTTTGAAGCTTTTGAGGGTTATTTTATCTACACCTGCGAACAGGAGTTATTTTCTTGCTCAGAATCTTTTACCTCCAGTTATTCCTTTGCTGTCAGCAGCCCTTGAGAACTATATAAAAATTGCTGCTTCTTTAAATGTCCCTGGAAGCACCAACTTAACATCAAGTAAGACATCAATTGAAACTTTTGAATCAATTTCTGAGGTACTGGATGGCTTTCTATGGTCTGTTTCTACAATCATTGGGCATGTAAGCTCTGATGATCGACAACTCCAGATGCAAGGTGGCTTGCTTGAGCTATTGATAGCATATCAAGTTATCCACCGGCTGCGAGATCTTTTCGCACTTTATGACAGGCCCCAGGTGGAAGGCTCCCCATTTCCTTCAACTATTCTCTTAAGTATACATCTATTGGTGGTTTTAACATCAAGAACCAGAGCATCTGCTTCCATTGATTGGGAATCTTTGGCCAATAAAGCGTTGTCAGGAAATGAACGGCAAGAGGAAAATTTTGCAGAGCCTGCCTATATAAATAACACCTTTGGAGATCTTAGATCTCCGTTGTCTGTTATAAACGGGAGCACCACTATTCCTCTGGCAGACATACCAGATGACAGACTGTCAGATGATTTGTGTAAAATGAATAAAAATGATGAAGCAGTATTCATCGACAAAGATAGTGAAAAAAAGCTGATTGCTAGTCCACTTGAGTTGAATAATACTGCCATCGCTGAGGCTGAAGTGTCAGACGAACAGCAGAAGAGTTTGTCCCAGAAAAAGGACGAGAAAAATGCTGCGAATGTTGGTCCGGAGCAAAAAAATGAAGACACATTGAGCTTGAAACAACCAGTTTCCTTTCTCCTTTCTGCAGTATTTGAAACTGGTCTAGTCAGTCTTCCTTCTCTGTTAACAAGTGTTCTCCTACAGGCAAACAATAAATCGTCTTCAGAGCAGGTGAAAATTAGCCTCTCTTTCAAAAAGGGTTGTTTAACCTTTTTTTTTTAAATGAAGGTACACTGTTGGTTAGTTTTTGGTATTGACTGAATGCCTTAGCAGAATTTTATTTTGATCTCATGGTTCAGGCTTCATATGTCCTTCCTTCTAATTTCGAAGAGGTGGCAACTGGAGTGCTGAAGGTGTTGAATAATTTGGCCCTCTTGGACATCACATTTATGCAAAGAATGCTGGTAATTTGATTGCATTTTCCTTTCTGAACCCACTTTACTCAATATATTGTAATTTTCCACAATCTGTATATGGGTTTCTAAGATCTTGCATACTCAATTTTCTCGATAAGTTCATCTTCTAATACCTTCGATTCTTACAGGCTAGCCAGATCTAAAGATGGAGTTCTTC